ATTGTAACAGGCTCCTCCAGCTGTGCTGGTGTGTTCAGAGAGATGCAGCATGTGCAAAAGGCGCCTTCCCTTTGACTTAAAACATATAATGATGTGTACCCTATCACTGATAAAGAAAAATAAAAGCTGTAAAAATTTGCATGCTGGGGACTGATTTAAGCTTACTTTTCCCTGGCCTCAAAGTTTGAGGCTTGAAGTATTTGTGGATGAATGGTATCCATTTGCTAGGACCCTGGAAAACATTAAAAGTGTTAGTTTTAAGTAGCCTTTCCTCCCCTGCCCCTGTTTTAAAAATAGTTGGCCTTGAATATTCTGGAGCAAGATGTGAGATTACATTTTTTTAAATGTCCAGAATAAATATAACTGGCACATGCCCATAGCATAGCCACCCTGAGAAACAAAACACAGAACTTTTACCTTAGCATTGTTTCTGTGATACTTGTGCTGTTTCATTAACTTACAGGTTTTGCTCAGTACATAAATTATCAGCGTAAGTTTGCATTTTGTTCTATGTACATCTTAAGAATACAGCAGAAAATACCATTGCTTAGCACATTAACAAAAATCACATTATATGAGAGGTTTGTCAAAATACCTGTATACTAAGTTATATACAATTCTGGAAATCCTTCTTCCTTTGACTTCTAGCGTGTTACTCCCCAGAAAAACAATCTATTTGTCTTTAAAAGTTGAAGTACCTGAAGTATGCTGTTAAAACAACTTGAGAAAAAAATATTAACTTTTCAAATTCCACTTTTAATTTCAAAATAAAATTGAATGGATCACTGTGTGATGCCAGCTTTTTTTTTTTTTTTAAACTAACTGTCCCTGATAAGGGAATGCATGGATATTGCAAGTCCTAGTGGGATTGTTTCCCCCAGAAGTTATGAATATGGTGTACTCACAATTGTGGATAAAGGTATTATCCCAAGGTGCACTATGTTGTATGCTCCCATGCATAAAAAAAAAACCATGGTAGAAATGTGTATTCTGATGGTTGATACATAGCTTTTAAAACAGATATTTGTAATTCTCAGTTTTTTAAATTCCTCTTTGATAAAAAGTCCACATCGATTAGAAGCTCAACTGACCGTCGTGATGGCTGGCGTCTTCCCACCTTCCTCTCCTTCGGCCCCTTCACCTTCTGCTTGCACCTGGTTGAACTTACCAATCTTTTTCAAGCTCTCCAGTGCGGACTTCAAAGTGTCCTTCAGGCTGTTCTCCAGGACCCAGCCTTCGCTTTCACATTCAGGGTCTTCGGGATTTGCGATGCTTTCCAGAGAGGTGTGCAGAAGACGCAAGCCAACCATCACGGACATCTGTGCCATGACATGGAAAAGACAGTGTCAGGCAAACCTTCATACCCTTGTCCGCGTTTTTGCCATCCTCCACTGTCAGCAGCCCGGGCTGGCGATGTGAACAAAATGCCGGAGGCACCAAACAGATACAGCTTAAGGGCTGCAGGAATCCTCCAAACGAGAGGAGATCTTGAGCAGCCTTCCCCATTAGGTGGCCAAGAGGGGTGAGGGAGAGCTGGCAGGAGGAAAATGTTCCCTTATGAGTTGGGAAGGAGAGGGTGGAGGTCCAAAAGGTGAGTGAGTGGAAGGAGAGGGTGGAGGTGGGTGAGCACCACGGGAGATGGGACAGTTGATAAGCAATAAGTGGATGGGTCAGCTTACGAAGGAAGTACGTGCTGGCTGCTGCCAGCTTTGCGTGGCCATGTGCCCAAGGGGGCTTTCCACATACCCCATCACAGGGTAGGCACCTCCTGGGAGATTTTAATGAAACCTTTGCTCCTGTGCATTAGACATCCATAGAGCTGTTTATATGTGCAACAACGTCCTCTGCCACCATCCACTTAATTTTAACTCCAAATATTTCTACTTCACATTGACCTTAATATGTTTGGCAGTTATATTAGACTCATCAAAGAGATATTAATGAATCAGAATCTGCACAGAACAGAGCAGCAGTAGGATATGAGCCATCAGCTTGCCTACTTCAAATTGTGGTTATTTTTATATAGGTATGTGCAAATAAGGAAATCGAGGCAGGAGGTGATCTGTATCTCTCATTGGTTCCATCTAAAACAAATTTCTATTTCTGATAAAATATTTACCAGTCCCAGCAGCCTTGACTGAGACTCTGCTATATTATGCTGGTGTAACAGCCCTGACACCAGCAATGTCCCAAACCTGCCTCCAGACAGAAAGAATGTTTTCAGCCAGTCTCCTGCCTTCTAACAGTGTTCGGAACAATCTGACTCCCATCGTTGTGGTGCTTATGAATAAAAGTGATTGATCTGTGAAGTAGAGGAAGAAAGAAAAGGCAGTGCCCAGAAGAGCCAGCTTGTTGAGGTGGTAGAGCAGGTGGTCAGGATGGGGCAGCAGTAAGGCTAGTTTAGTCTTTCGTGTGCTAGGTAAAGCTAAGACTGGACCACTTGTTGTTGTTAATGACCTCATAGGATTTGCTCTGTAAGGGAAGTACGGTGCCTCTGTTATCCTACCCAAATTCCCAAGGAAGTGAATATCTCTGGTCCTCCTAAACCCTAATGGCTAAAGAGGTTGGCATCCCTGTGTGTTGCTTACCTGGTGGCACAGCTGAAGCCCACGGAAAGCTGCCCTGGACCTGCAAGTGCAGCTCTCTGTTGAGGTTTTTGAAATAGAGATGGAGGAAGCTTGCAAACTGTCATGCAGGATTACAGCACTGGGTAGCTGGGCAGATTTGAAGTTGGGATTCAGCCACAGAGCATGGCCAATGGCAAACTTTACATCTGGCTTTTGGAATCGTGGGACTGCTCGGGCATGTGCTTCTGTGAACCATTCATTAGCCTATCTACGCTGGTCATCCCGCTTGCATGCGATAAGTGTCTCCAAACTCCTGGAAGACTAAAGGGTAACCATTGGCTACCCTCGAAATTTTCAGATGTTTCTCTGCCTTTACTCAAGACCAGAAAGAAAAAAACAATCATCAAACAAACAAGCTTCATCAAATGCTTCCATATCAAAAGGCAATTTTTCATCCTGTTCAACACAGGAACATGTGACTCACAACACTTGGTCCTCAAAGAAGGTTCTAATGGCCCTAAATCTGGAAATAGTCTCATTTTGTTGTGGATCTACCCAATACTACAATGACTTGAATCAGTTGAAACACTCTTCTATACAAGTCACAAGAAGTGACAAATCACATCACACTAGTCTTGGGATTTAAAGCATTTGACATCTTCCTTTCAATCCGATCCCCAGTTTTGCTGCTCTCAGTCACGGGAGTTTGTTAGCAGGAGCCTTTTTGTGACTGACTTACTAAGTCCCACTATGAACAGTAAAATTAGCTTTACTTACAGGCTTCCTGGACAACTCTAAGTCACTAAATACAGTTGTGCTTTAAAAAAGAAGGGTGCTTGTGCAGAAGGGAGCTGACCTACCCTCAGATGAGATTCTGTGACATTTCCTCTCAGTTTAAGACTCCATTTTCTTCAAAATCTTGCTCAGAAAGATTTTGAGTCTCTGGAATTGAGATTTGCCAAAAGCAATGCAAAACATTTGGGCTCTCGTCACCTCCTCTGCCCTGAGCCCGCCTTCTCTGCTGGATGAGAAGAGAGTCCAGGAAGTTGAAGACAACTACCTGGCAAATTAGTCTATCACCTATATGATAGCTTAGAGCCTTGGACTATCAGTTTTGCTGAAGTAATTTATGTTGTAAATTATTTATCCAGAACCTTTAATGCAGGCAGCTTTTCAATAAGCCGCTCTCTCCATTTGTGAGTCCTGGCCAAGACACTTAGAGCTTCCTGCAATGCATAGATCATATTATCAGCAAAATTATCGAAGGCAGATGATGTGTCTGCTGCCTCAAAAATGTATGTTAATGCCTCAGCATGCTTCAGCTTTGTAGAAATACTTTGAGAGATCTAGTTAGGTTGGAGATATGGGCTGACAGGAACCTCATGAAGTTCAACGAAGAGAATTGCAAAGTCCTGCACCAGGGAAGGAACAATCCCATGCACCGATATAAGCTGGGAGGTGACCAGCTGAAAGTAGCTCATCAGTAAATGGCCTGAGAGTCTTGGTAGACACAAAGTTGAACATGAGCCAGCAGTGTGCCACTGTGGCAAAGGCGGCTAATGGTGTCCCGGGCTGCATTAGACAAAGTATTGCCAGCAGGTTGAAGTAGGTGGTTCTTCTCCTCTGCTCAGCATTGGTGAGGCCACAGCTGGAGTGCTGTGTCCAGTTCTGGGCTCCCCAGCACAAGAGAGACATGGACATATTGGACGGAGTCCAATGAAGGGACACTGAGATGACGAAGGGACTGGATCACCTCTCCTATGATGAAAGGTTGAGAGAAACAGGACTGTTCAGCCTGGAGAAGGAAAGGCTCAGGGGTAATCTCATCGGTGTGTAAAAATACCTGAAGGGAGAGTTCAAAGAAGGTGGCGCCAGGCTCTTTTCAGTGATGCCCAATGACAGGACAAGAGATCATGGACACACACATAGGAGCTTCTGTTTGAACATTAAGAAACACTTTTTCATTGTGAGGGTGACTGAGCACTGTCACAGGTTGCCCAGAGAAGTGGTAGAGTTTCCCTCCTTGGAGATATTCAAAAGCCATCTGGACATGGTCCTATGCAACCGAGTCCATGTGGCCTTGCTTGAGCAGGAAGACTTGGATTAGATGACCCTCAGAGTCCCTTCCAACCTCAACCAGTCTGTGACTCAGAGTTGTAGACCTGTGCTTAATCACAATCCAGCGAAGAAGGCCTGGGTATCGAGGTCCCAAAGCTATCCCGGTCTCGCTGAGTGATGATTTCCCCTGGCCGATGGACAAACTGTCCTGAAAACTCTTGTCACTTCACAGCAACTTTAAAGTGGCAGGAAGAACAAGCCCGCAGTGTTTCTCTAGGGCTGGGTATGGGCAGGCTGGGCTGGTGCACCCCCGCACCACAGACTGCTGAGCCCTCGGTCTGTGCCAGCAAACTGTTCTTCTGGAGGGTTCCTCTTCCTCTACTGCCTGTGGGTTGGTTTTGAAGGTTATCAGGCATTCACTTCTAGCGTTCAATGCATCAGAGAATTTACTCTCCAGCATGAGCTGTGCAATGCAACCCCGGCTCATGTCTCATCGCTCTCCTGGGTTCCCCCTCCTGGAGCTCAGTGCTGGGCTCCCTCTGTGGTGCCACACATGAGACGAAACTCAGGGTTTCAGCCACCGCAGTGGCTGCAACCTATCAAGAGCCATTTGTTTATACAGGTGAAGGGCCTGGAGCATCTCAGAAACCATCTGCTGCCCTCCAATCGTTCTGAAATGCCCTATGCAGGGCACCCTTGAACCCCCAATTTCCTCTTCGCTGACTGAGGCAGGTCAAGAAGAGAGTCAGGCTTGCTCTGCTTGACCTTCTGCAGAGAAGCCCATCTGTTTGCCAGGGTTTAGCCTGAGGCGGCTTAGCAAGAGCATGGTGTGATCTTTTTTTGTCACCCTCATGACCGGTTGTCGTTCCTGGGAAGACTACAGCTTTTGCTAGTAAAAGCAGCATACGGGTGACGATATATTTCCAGAAAATCTGACATGCTGTGTTGTTTTCAAATCGAAATTTTCATACTTCAAAATAGGTTCATTCTTCCTTGCACCTAATATAGGAACGTTAAACCCAAACAGCTTTCCCTGAGGTCCCTACACTCGCTTGGCACACTATTTTATTCTAACAGCTCAAAGCAACGGCTGTGAATAGTGTTCCCCTCCATGCTTTGTCCCACTTTCCACATCTCGATACCAGCGACCCCGGTGGAAGATGCCTCCGCCGGCCCCCATAAGGGCTTTGCTGGGAGACTGCTGGGGCTGGGCTTCTTGGCTTGAGTCCACAGCAGCTCCAGGTGCACAGCAAACCAGGGCTCTTCTTTGCCTTTGTGCTTCTCTGTAACTTCTCAGCACCAGTGAAGGGAAATGGAGAAGCGCAGAGGCAGCACGTGAACGCCCTGCCGGTTCACAGCCTGCTCAGACCGACATCTTACCTTGGCCAGGAGCTGGGACCTCTGCTGCGCTCCTACTCAGTATGAAATTGTTTCCTACCCTGACTGGAATCTATATATTTCAAGGGAGACTAAATTAACATCTGCTTCCTGCTTTGCTTCTTCCCTTCCAAGTTTGCCTGAAAAGCAAAGGGAGTTTGAGACCCAAATCTGGACCATTTATGCACCAATAATGGGTGAGTCATAAATATTCAGGAGAGCAAATTAACATCACCCAGAACTGTGATATTTCCTTAAAGCTTTGCCCTGAGAGTCCTCTGATCACCTGAGAAAAATCTCACCTTTTGTTTTGAAAGAAACGAGAGAAGACCGTATTTCTCATTACACCCCAGATTGAAAATGCTGCCTGGGTGTGCTTTGAAGAGTTGGAAATAAAATACTGTATTTTTATCGCTGCTATTAATGTTAACATATCATTTATTAATCTCCTACAAGTCAGCAGAGGTATGTTACAGGTTCCTAGTCATGATTTGTCACAGCTGGCATTAGTGTTTCTGTGTGTGTTTCCCCTGAGTTTTTGAATTTCCTTCTGATTTTCATATACAGCTGAAATTCCCCTCTCTTCAAGAACTCTGCCTTTGAATTTGGGCTGAGACACAAGCTTCTCCTTCTTTTCTTACCAGGACAACAGTGCTACAGGAAGGTAGTACCTTCCTGAGCCATGTAGAGCAGTTATTTTTAAAACAACACGACCTGAAGTAACTTTGCGATTTTTTTCTCAGTTCACAGATTATTTGGGCAGGTGTTTATTTTCTGAAAAGCATCTTCATTCCTGGAAGAGTGTTGCCCAGTGCTCATATCAGAACAGAATGCATCTTTTTTTTTTTGAATTGCATTCATCTGAATTTTAAAAAAAGCTGGCTGAACCATTTAAAACAGGCAACACCGTTCGCAGCAGCCATGTCAAGGGTTAGAAAGGCTCCGTGGTGCTCCGTGTTGCACCCTGAGCTGCATCCTCCCCGTTGGCCACCTGGTCCTGCTCTACCTCCGCCTCACGCGCCAGCCCTCGTGCCGCTGCCAGCTCACGCTCCCTGCGTATTAGTATTGATTAAACGTCGTCTAGAAAACTGGCCATCTCCCAGAGGCAGGAGGACGTGTTTTCCTCCTGTCGAATGAACAGTATTTCAGCAGCAGAGCTGCACTTCGGGCTGTGGTGCTCGCAAACATCCGTGCTGGGCAGCGTTTGCACCTGTTTGCATACACACGGTGGTTTCGGGAAACAGAATAAAAGAAAATTTATCCATCAGCTTCATCCAAACCACTTCTTGTGACCAAAACCATCGATGGAGCTGATGAAGGACCTTGAGCCAAATGCTGCCCTGAAGCTGGACGCTGCGTGTGCTTTAGGTCTTATTTTCATCAGCATGTAAACCCCTTAATTGCTCATTCTGTCCCGCAAATTACTGCCCTCTCCTTCTGATGCACTGCTTTGTGTACTTTCCATTCTCTGCTAATGGTGACACATGAAAAAGTAATTCATCTGAGCCCTTGCACGACCTGCTCTGCACCCCAACCTGCAATCTAACCCCAACCCCATGCTTCCCAGCTGTGTCTCTAGGATGGGACCCTTCAGACCTTACACCGGTGTTCACTATTAGATGTTTTCTCAGCCAAAGAATGGCAGCGGACAATACATTTTCTAATAGATTTTTAACTTAGAAGCCCACTCTGCCCCTCTGGAGCTGGCTGAGGGGAGAGGGTTACCTCGAAAATCCAGACGAGGAGGACAACAGCACCCATGGAGCTCATCATGCCGCTGTAGTAGTGCAGGAGGGCTTCCCGGCAGCCGCGGCGCCAGAGGTTGAGCTCCTCTGTTTGGTAGTCGTAGCTGTAGTGAGCCGAGTTGTTGGTGACCTGGTACTGGATGCAGGGTCTTGGGGAGCTGGGATTGCAGCAGCTGAAGGGGACACCATCCACCAAGTACCTTCCATCCACATTGCTTTTAATCCGACTACGGGTGAGGGCAGAAGGAAGCATGAATACACACACATACATAGAAAGATATACCGGAGCAAACTTACATGAGAAAGGAAAGCAAAGGCAACATGGATCTTGCACCGCTCCTTCTGGCCATGCCTTTTCCCCGCATCCCCTGTTTACATAGCGGTGTTTGCCCTGGCTGTTTTTTCTCTCTGAAATCCTTTCCTCTGTCAAGGATACACAGAGTCTATAATTAACTCTTCATGATGGCAATGCACCCTCTCGAGGTACTTGTTCAAACATATTAATTTTTAAGAAAAGTAAATGGCAGAGAGAAATTTCAGGAGGGGCAGTCAGAAAAGCGTGACCACAGCATAGTTAGGGTGGAAGGGAGATGCTGGAGGTGACCTGAGCTTGGAAAAGGACCGCCAACAGCCTTAGGACCCACCATATCCAGCTAGACCATCGATCCAGCAAACTTAATAGCGATAAAAATATCTCCGGGAAGGGGTTATGCATTTATTCTTGGGTTGGGAAGGCAGTCAGTATTTAAACCATGAAATGTGCTTCAGCAACATGATGTTAAAAATTTCTGAAGTCCTTGCAGGAGCTCCCCAGCCATCGTTCATTTGAGGCTGTGGTTGCTCTCAACAAACAGCCATTTAGTCTGGTGCCTTATGAGGTGTTTAGATGAGACATACTTAGAAGGCAAATAGTTCCACTGGCACTGCAGAAGAAGGCTATAATAAGAGGACTGCAACTCTAACAAAGTCCGTTTCGCTTAGAAAATGACAGAATGAAGAACCCCAGTGATTTAGAAAGGTGAACAACAATCTGAGAGTCGCTTGTAGCTTTCTATGTAGGTATTTTAATGTTGTGTCGCAGAGAGAGGTGATTGCAACAGGCTGGTGAAGCAAAATTCTACTTTGCAGTCATGACCTAAATATATCTAAATGCCAAACGCAGTTCAGGTTTTATCTTTAGATGTAGAGCATGTTCTGAGTTGGGTCTGTTTCCCATTGAAGTGTAAATACTCCACGAGCTTCAGAGAGATTGGATCAGGCCTTCGTTCTGCAAAGAATATAAAAATCCCATTGCAGGGGAGGGACTTGCACCTTCCCTGGAATTAAGCAGAACTTTGCTGTTGGCTTCAAAGGGACCAGAATATCCTATCAGGAATGTGAGCAGAGATTGTACGCCACCGCGTAGTTCAAACCTTGAATTCACCCATTAACATCCGTTTGTGGATTTTTAATGCCTTATTTCCTGCCTCAGTAGTACAAAGAAATTGCCCTGAGTCTCAGTCCCAAACAAGACGTTATTAAGGACAATATAACCTCGTTTTCCCTCTGTGCTTTTCCCTTCCACTGCTGCTGGATTAAGTTACAGGTCTCAAATCTCCATATAATGCAGGCAAGCTGAATTTACTATGTTTTCAAGTAGTTATTTATACCCATGGGCATACCTTCACAACGCAAGCACTCGCTTATTAAATAGCGAATGTATTTCTACAACCCTGCAGTGCAATAGGTTAAGCCTGTTGCAGTTTTCACTCTAAAAGTCCTAGTTCAGAATTGCAAAAACAACCAGACCACCCAGCAAGTCAAAACAATATGCAGAGAGACACACAAGTGAAATACCATTTACTCAGTCAGGCAGGGATCCCAAGAGATATACAAAGCTTTTTTTCAAACTTAACTTTGGGCATTTTTAACATAGGCAGTACATTTAAAAAGTAGATCGGTTCCAGTTTACAAGACCCTTTGTGCAACCACGGAGTATGAACGTTAACGAGTGATGCTCCCAAAGAACTCTGAATAAAGACCTTTTCCTCCAATACTTCATTTATTAAAACGTTCTGGGTATTTATGCTCAAAGGCTCATTTTTTAATTTCAGATGTTCATTTGTTCTCATGTTTATTTTTTACTTGCGCTTACTGCACCTAACCTGATTTTGAGATTACTGCCTCCTTAGGCACTGACATCAGAGCCATTAAGGTGTTTCTGGTCAATAATCTGTTCTGGTTTGTAAAGAGGAAACCAGTGCTGTTTTCATGTGAGATTTAAAAAAAATAGGCACAAGTATATATATCAAGCATGTTTTTGTACGGGAGAGAACATAAAATGCATTTGGCTACAAGGGACACTGTATAAAGCTAGTAATGTCCACGGGTGTTGACAGTTCAATATTGTCACAGTGCTGAAGCGATCCACTGAGTGAATACAAAAATAAAATTCTAAATTTTAAGGATTTAAAACACCTGAGTTATTGGTAAAACGTTTCTGTTTCTAGCTGTTTTCATGAGTGATTAATTGCCAATGTCTAAAGTGGAGTTTTAAAAGTGGCATCAGCAGTACATATCCAGGGAAGTCTTTTTTTAAGAACTTAGTAAGTCACATTGAAATCTGCTTAAGAATTGTGAAGTTCTGATACTTTCCTGTTGATTTTGGGAATAGGTACGTGTGGCTTCACGTAATGGGTTTATAAAGAGGTAAAAGACAGTAAAAAATGTTAAGTCTGTTTACATTGCACTAAGTAAGAATGAGAATTGTGTTTTGGTACTTTGTATGTTATGTTCTGGGTAATGTTAGAGGAATTTGTTAGAGGAGGAAGCAATCTAGCTGATCTTTTGGGATGCTTATTAAGCAAGAGCAGAGAGAAAAAAAACGTTTTATATAAAACCCCCTCCAGTCAGTGCCTATTGTGTTGCACGTTTCCTTAGTATAATATCACTCAAATAACGATACTATGCAATGCAAACTTCACAAAGTCACTTACTCTTTTACTTCTTTGGAGCTGAAGTCCAGGTATCTGTTGCTGATCCACTGAATTTCAAACCAATCTTTGAAGCCGTTGTTCCCACAGCATTTGAACTCAATTTGGAGCATGTCGATGGTCTTCTTCATGAAGCATCTCCCAGGGGTGTCTGTGTCCCGGTAGAACTTCATGCTGTTCTTGAGCCCCTGGGCCAGCGTGCTATCCAGAGAGCCACGCATGAGAAAGCAAATCAGAGCAACGAAGAAAATGAGTATGTTAAACAAGAAACATAGTGCCAGGTAAGGTTTCAGCACAGGCTTCCACTTGGCAAATTTAGCGGGATCCAGAGAATCGTAACAAATTTTGCCAGCAAAACCATTGAAGGCGCAGGATAATACACCCATCAATATCAAAGAATTGGGCACAAAGTGGCTTTCAGAATTGTCCATCACTTCACTTCGCTTCCGGAGTTCAATTTTGAGGAACAACCCCATGCTAAAAACAAGGATTCCAGCAAACACTGAAAACCAGTTCATGAGCCATAGTCCCTGTGCTAGTTTTACCCGTTTCTTCTGGTTGAATTTGACTTTCAGCAGTGCCATCTTTTTAGTGTGAGATGTTGGAGGATTTCACAGCCTGGACCCCTCTTCTTGGTGTAAGCGACTCGAGGAAGAACCATTCAGGCGTTGGAAGAGACCCCGAACAGCACGGTGGGAAGAGAGCCATTGTACAGTCCTTCCATCTTCAGCTCCCCTGGTTAGGATTCAGGCAAGTAAAATATTCAAAGATCCAAATTAACAATCTCACATTGGTGAAAATAATGGACGATTAGCACCTACAACTATTTCTGATGGTTCCTTCCAAGTAAAGGAGAAACAGTCTCAAGGTTTCAAATGATTTGATCTGGATCTGCAAGACGTCATTCTAATACCTTTAATCATTTGATCCAATTTGGAGAAATGTCTGTCAACAGATGAGTGGAAATAATCCCTCATTTTACTATTTAGTAGATTTGTGCTTTCTTATGATAGGCTGCTGGGCAGAACGTGAAAACCCAGAGATATAAAAAGATCTGCGTTATCAGAAGAATATGGATCCTTTGAGGAAAAAGGAAGAGGGCTCCAAGATAAAAAAGGATATTGCTTTGAATACAAAAATATACTTGCCCTACATGATCCTGATTTATTCATATCTACAGCCAAAACCACCTTTCCAGTCCTTATCCTTCCGTGTTGACCCGAGATGACATCCCGTGGCTTATGTGTTCTGGAAGCATTTAAGCGTGTAGTTTACAGTGACCTAAAAAATCTAAGCTTGGCATTTTGTGTTTACCTCCAGGGCTTGTACCATCTCTGGGCCTTGGCAGGAGGGAAGGAGAAAGGAAAAGTTTGGAGAAACTCAATAAATAGAACCAGGGCTGAAATCTAGAGATGCTTTTATAAAAAGAGAGCTGACATGAGCAGCTTACCGGATAACCGCCGGGCTGGGGAGGGGAGCAGGGCTGCCCAAGGAGACCTGGGAGCTTACACCAGGGAGGAATATGACCCAGTGGCTGGGGAGGGACCCTTGGGCCATTGTCACCAGCCAGCACAAGGAAGGCACCCCGGGGTCCTCGGGGTCTGCCGAGAGACCTGCAGCCCGGCTCTGCTTTCATGTTGTAGTGGGCAGAAAAAGAGGGATGTGACCCTTCGGCAGTGGCCAAAGATGACACCCTCTTTCAGCAATAGCCTTCCTCCCTATGCCATGCAGCCGCTTCAGGCAAGCATGGAAGCTGGGCTTTTGCTCTTTCCAGTGCTCTGGGACTTTCACTCACTTTGAAATACCACCTCTTGCTCCCCCCCTTACCCCGCAGAAATTCAGAGCCGTTCGGAAAGTCCCACGCTGGCTCACCACTTGCTCCAGCAATGCAAAATTAACCTCAGGCAACCTCAAGCAACACAAAATTAAATTTCAGGTGCGTGAGGGTGTGGGTGCTAACGGTGCAGGTCAGAAAGGAGCAGCCCCAGGAGAGAGACTGGGAGGTTCTGTCCCAACCAGAGTCATCCTGACCTGCTGCTGCTAGTGGCTGCCAGCAGTGTGATGCACCAGCCCCGGGGGGAGAAGTGAAGAGACCTGTCCAGGAGGAAGGCAAGTGTGAAAAATAATAACAATAAATAAATTTTAAAAAGCACTGAAAAGTAGCATTTTGATAGTCTGGTGCTGTGGGTGCTGCTCAGTCACTGTTTGGGATGCCAGAGGTCTCTTCAGTAAGGACAAAGGCTATCCAGCTGCCTCTTTTTCCTGTGCTAATAGAAGGTTTTTGCCATAGACTTTTCCTGGCCCATCAAGATACTATTGCAGTGTCTCTCTACCCAGAGAGCAGCTGGTAACCAGGATTTTCCTAAAGTGGGTCTGACTGTTTGCTTTGCTGCTGCCTTTGCAGGTGAAGGCAGAGTGTGTAAGAGGAAAGGAGAAAAGCAATTATCCATCAGGGGTTGCTCTCTCTACTTGCCATGAAGTTGATGAAAAGTGCTGTTTCTTGGCAAAGCCTGTTAAATATTTTTGTGCAATAAGCTGTAGCACTAAAATAACATCTCTCCTGGCTGCTTGGCAAAATATCCCATAACCATGCAGTACACATCACTGCATTTCACTGACTCCTCCAGGGCTCATCTAGGAAACACAAGGTAGTTGGGAGGGTGTATTTATCTGACAGCCTGAAGTTAATTATAGACAAATGAACCTGAAACTATTTCCTTTCCTGTCAGTGATGATAGAGTGAAACTCTAGTTAAAAAGAATTTTCTGTCAGGTCTGTGAATCATGGGGATATACAGTGAAATATATTCTGCAGTGCAATTAGTAAGCCTAAAAATTGTAAACTTGCCCACAGCAGATATAAGCGTGGTGCTGCTCTGCATATGGGGAAGCTTATATTCAGGAGCACAGACGATAGTCTGAATAGATGCGAACTTAACAATTTGACATTCCACGATATTTCTGATGCAGCAAATATGTCCCTGTATACGTTTGGGTGTTCCTTGTTAATTCAAGAATAAAAATAATGAAACAGACCATGCAGCGTATGCTTCAGGGCTCATTGATCCCCTCCTCTCCTTAAATGAAGGTAACAGGAGAGGTCCTAGTAAACCGCTCCTAAAGAGTTAATGTTTTTTGGGAGGTGATCAGTGATTCACCTGATGCTCAGGAAGGGGCACTCAGGTGCTAATTAGACCATCAAGATTTCAGGTAATACCTTTAGAGTCATCGCAGAGAGCAATCAACACAACTGAAACAACTCAGATTTGGGGAATTACTGTGTTTGTCTGAGTACTTGCAATAGTTCAATACCAGGTGGGGACTTTGAGGGGCGAAAACTGCCCACCTATCAAGTCAACTCACCATGCTTGGAAGTTTTAAAGGGGATTGGCGACAGCAAATCATATGCTCTACCCTGACACTTCCTTCAAAAGAAATGAAGTTAACACTTTTAAAAATGGGGAGTTAATGCTTCCCGCTTATCCCAGACAAGGAGCTGGCAAGTCTTGATCAGCTGAGGGTTGTTTCAAGCAGAACAACCTAAGGAAGAGGAAGGTTAATGGACTGAATTAAACACTGAAGTGTTTTGGGGTGTGGACAGCGCGAAAAAGAAATCTGTTTTTGCCTGTCATCTGCTTATCTTACAAATCTTTATCTTGGCTGAGATTCAACCTTAAATGGGCAGATTTACTGCTACTTGCTACTTCAAATAGAAAATAATTGAAAGTGATCTGTAGCAGACAAAAGCTGATTGTAGCAAGGATGTTTGAGTTAATGGGCTCCTCAGAGGTTGCATGTTAAACTCAAATGTATAATTCGTACACCATTTGGGAGAAAAAAAAAATAGAATAAACGAATTATTATTGATCTGCTAGAACTCACCATGAATGTTTTCAAATCCAAAATGTTAAGAAATTATAATTTCTGTGGATAATAATTCAGTATTGATACCTTTCCAAAAAACAATGCCCACTAACCTAAATATAAGGCACAAAGTTAATGCTAGGAGGGAGGAAAAAGTTGTTTTTCATGTATACCATTCAATCTGCTATTTGCTATACAGTCTGCTGCCCAGTCCTGGACTAACTGTGCTCCTTCCATCTTCAGGAACATGAGATATAAAAGGCAAATTCCCTTTAGATAGTTATATGCTATGTGCCTAAACTATGGAAATTCTTAGTTGGTAAAAAAATTTCCTGGCCTAATCTTTCTTTCACTCTGCTCTGTGATATGAAACAAGTAGCTTTCTTGGGTTCTTTTTTTTTTTTTTTCTTTCCTTAGAAGTGGTTAGGTTTCATTGCAAGGATGAAGATGACTGGTTTTACCTATGATAGGAAGTTATTGTGTAGAGATAAAAGGAGGTTTTGTGCACTGTAGTTTATGGTTTTGCTTGCATGTGCAACTCTGTGGTGTGTACAGGGACGCTCCTGAGAAACAACGTGATAAAATGGCTCTACCATGCTGTATGATTAACAGGTGAGGAAAAGGCCTGATTTATTACATTTTTCCCCCTGCTATGTACACAAATAACTTGGTAGGCTATTATTTTTGTGGCATGTGAGGTGATTGCAGGTCCTGAGGCTGGAAACAGAGGTAAGCTGCTAGAGTCACTACTTGGGTTGTTGTATACCCTGGGAAGGGTGATCTGATCTGCCAGATCCCATGGCTCTTAAACTACGCCAGGGCACGCTCTGGGGGTTTTAGCATGGTTTTGCTCTAGGTAGTTCCCAGCATTTCAACCATCCTTGTCCACAGTATGGGTAATGTGTTCAGAGAACACAGTTTTTCTTTGATCCCCAAGATGCTCATTCTGAGTATTTATTTGTAGTACTGTGATGCCTAGGGTGTAATGTTCACCACTGAAAGAGTAAGAGTTTAAAATCAATGTTTGTACTTGCAGAAACACGGAAGAAATATATTGGGAATTGAAAGAAGCCTACAAAAGGCTCACAATAGTCATTACTGCTGGAAAACATCTCAGCACAACAGATGGATCCTCAAGTAAGTCAGATCAATCAGATCATGATGTGAATGGAAAAGCTGAAATTCCACGAGTTGCACAGGGTTTTTTTCCTGCTATTCATATCTTTCCTTGTATGTGATAAAATCGGCTTTTTAGTACAGTACAGGCTATGAGCTCCCTTGTGCAGATCCAATGGCTGTAACAGGAAGGCTGTGTAGGAAAAAGGCCACAGTCACAAGAAGTGGGGGGAGCCTGGTGGAAAGTAGGAGGAAAGGGAGTAGAGCTGAACAGCAAAAGGATGGTGCATAAAGGAGGTACAGAAATGTACTTGTCTGCATAGGGTTCTCAAATCAAACGAGTCTGCCCTCAGATCCCACTCTTACATGCTGGGAGAAATCCACTTGGAAAGACAGAAGTAGGATGTATATGAAGAGGAGAGGGAGAAGGATTGTATGTACTCACAAAAACTCTTTACGTTAAAGAATTCATAAGTATTTTGTAGTATCTGAAGTGATTCCAGGTAAAGCCACAGAGATTTGATCCTTGTCTACATATAGCTATTGCCTAAATAGGAAGAAGCTTTAAAAAAATCCCACGTCCTCAAAAATATAAAGCAGAGAAGTAAGAAATTCTTATGCACATATTTCTTACCTATTTTTTCATACAACAATTTTGCTAGAGCCCACATCAGAATCTATTGAAGTGAAACAGGGTGAGATAAACAGGGAATGCACATAACTTCATATTTGTTCCTGGCATTCAGAGAAGCAGATGCAGGGAGGGGGAAATGCCTGGACTCCAGTAGGAATGGAGGGGATCGGCCCCTCTCGGGACAGGACCTCCAGGTGAGATGGTGGCCTCAAGGGATGCAGCAGCAAAGCTCTCAACTGCTTCTCTGGAGGCAAACTTTGGTTCCTGCTACCTCTCATAGCCTCAACACGTGCTAAAGCTCAAAGCTCTCTGTAGTGCTGAAGAATTGTCTCAATTTTCTTCTGTGGGGTTGTTGTTGCATATTTTTGCATAGAACTATTTTATTTCATTCACAAACACATATGAGCTTTAAAAGGTTGAGTTACAGCGCTGCGGTGAACTAAGAAAGTTTCACTGGCTTTAAAGATTTTGGTAAGGCTGTCAGCTGGAGGAGGGCTGTCCAACCAGGCTGTCTTTCAAAAATGTTTAAACCAAGAATATATTCTTTTGACTCCCTGTGGAAAATGGTTCCACACCTCAATACCCTGTACTGTTCAGAAACTTCCTACCTTTCTGCTAATGAGCCATCTATTCAGGGCCAATTTGCACCTAGTTTTATGGTGTTGATGTTTCTGTTATTCTCATAAGGTGTTCACAACCATATCCTTGGCAGGTGTTTGTTTTTCAACCCCTTCTGATGATACCTGAAAAGTTAGGTATGTGTAAATCACCTACTGCCTACTAAACCCTTCATGAAACTCTTACACAAAAACTTTAACCCCTTTATTGTTGGGTAACACTGATGTCTAGAAAAAATAATTTCTTTAGGGTATTAAAGAAGCTCCTTGGTTATTCTGGTGGCAATGAGAAGCAAAACAGAGCTAAAGTTCTTGAGGAGACTTTGTTTGCTTCAGTCTTGTGTTATGCACGTTACATAATCTGGCCAACGTTTAGGTCACACCAACAAACTGCTGGAGGTGGAGGCAAAGCAGTGCTGGTGGTGCCACTGCTCTGTCTGCTGGCCAGCCTGGTACGACGGGCTGCACAGGCAGCAACTGGTCCTAGCTCCTGGCTACGTCATCTTTACCTTTTCCTTACCCCTTGCCCCTTCTTAACTGGCTGGGGAATTACCGTCCCTGAACATGCTCATTCAATGGGCTCCTTGAACTGTCTTCTCCCTTGTCTTGTCCTCCATCTTGCTATTAGGCAAGGTAGCTTGTAACCAGCTCGCTTTTGCAGCAGTTCTGACTGCTCCTGCCCTCCCTCTGGCACGACGGGGAGCCTGCTCTTACTCGCTACCCGCTCATCCATGGAGCCTGCTCAGCGCACAGGCTCGCACAAAGCCTCTGGAACAAAGTGCCTCTTCCCCCGTGGATCTCCAGGGAAGGATTTTTGCAAGCTCTCCCTAGCAGGTTAGACACAAAGCAATCCTGGCTCCTGGCCTAGAAGAGGCTGCCAGGCATTTTCTTCATGTCAGCATTGCTTATTGCTCGGAGGGAAGAAACTGAGCGTGTGCCGCCCTCCTTCCTCCAAGCTGCGATTAGCAGAGGGACAAAGCGGCTCTGCCCAGGCTGGCACCGCAGGTCTCCTTGACCCAGGAGAATGGAGACAGCCTGGCACATCTCCTCAAACCAGCTGCCGCACGAGCTCTACCCAATCTTCCTTCTGAAAGTTTCTCAGTCGCAAGAATCAGAAGGGGAATTCAGGAGCCCGGCTGCTTGCTGCTGGCAGGTCAGGGGCCGTCATGACATACTCCTCACTCTCTCTGAAGAGGTTTGATTCAGTGCGATGTGTGAGACGCTCCATTGTCAAGTCGTCTAGAGACAAGACAGAAGAACGTTCCTCACTTGTTGAAACCAAACGCTCTCAGTAAAGCTATTTCATTGCTTCCATACTTAAGATATGCTTATGACCTCTTGAACAAACAATTTTTCTGATGCCTTGTCAGTTGAGGCAAAAGGTAAAGAAATATGATGAAGCTACAAATACTGTGGATAGACTTTTAGTCTTTCCATGTTTAGCATTTACTCTGTAAGTAGTTCCAATGAAAAAATCCGGACAACTCTATAGTCTAGGCCTGTCAAAGTATCCCCAACATCTTATTTCCGAAACATTAGTTTGTGTCACAGTAAAAAGAATTTTTTCTAAGAAAACAGATGCTAAGAAATTAGTTCAATAAATAGCTGAGAAGTTTTAAATGCAGATTATATACATCTAACTATCCTGTAAAATGTGTTTTTATATATATATATATACATACTCATACAGTTACTCCTACCATGCTTTTAAATAGTTTCATAGACACTTAATGAGTATGTAATTCTTAGTACATCTGAGTTGTCACCTCTCACTAGATTTGACTAGAAAACGGATTCTCAAATGAATAACTGTACTTTTGGGATAGCAGCTAATATTCTCTCACTCACATGGCATTTTACTTTTTTCCTACTTACAAGGTCTGCAGAATGCTGGGGGTTATAGCACAGGTGTGTAATACATGAGCTGACTGTGCTGGTGCTGTCATGAGGAAGTGTTTCTTCTGGGACACACAGACGACAGCCTGCTAGTGCTTATACTAATTTTAACTTCCTTTTCCATATGTATTTTTAATAAAATATATTATAGTGGTGTTAAAATAACTATAATTAGATAGAAATCCTTAGGTGTTTCGCTCTCTTCCAGACCTGAAAATGTCGCATCTTCTATACTGATAGATTCTATGAATATGCTAGCAAACCTTTCCTAGTGTGTAACTTGTGTTCACATACTGTATTACTATTAACATTTCTATTTCAAAATAGTTTTTAACTTCTCCTAGTATGATTCTAGGAAATCAAGATTTTTAAAAGGTGCACAGAAACATGTACAACTGTGTATGTGTGTGTACATATATATATATATGAAGGTACCTATTTAGAACTTTAAAATCACATAGAAGTATTTGCCTGACTAAGCTTTTTCAGACTTGCTGTTCTCAAGAGCTAACACAGGAATGCACTTCCATCCCAGTTCCAAGTGTGCTGAGAGGCACACATCTGATACCTGCTACAGCCTAGTGGCCATATCTCCATTTCTAGGTTTGCCAGCATCCATCAACACAGTAAGTAAATGTAAACATTTATAGCTTTTGGCTAACAGAACAAAAGCATTTATATAGTTTTTTTACAGGCTGAACAGTTTCCAGTCCCAGGACCAGAGGATGCTAAGGGGACTAATTTGGCACTACCGGGGTATGTGGGGAAGAAAGATTAACTACCAAATCAGGGTCTGTAGTAAGACGGATGTATTAAAATTAAGATACTTGAGAACCTCATCTGATCACATCCCTTTAACAACACATATTAAAAATTACATACATTAAAGCAAGACTAAGGGCGTTTTCTTGAGATCATTATATAATGTTTTCAATGCAAAGAAGCATCATTAATAAAAAGACAACTGAAACAATTCAAAACAAATATATTTGAATTGCAAAATCCAATTCAGTCCCAAAGTACACATTAACAGAAGTAAACAAAACTGAAAGTTGTGAATCTATAAAAAAAAAAATCCCCCTTTTTTAACCCTCTGTTAAATATGCTGAAAATAAGTTAGATAATTTTCTCTGCTCAAAACCTGTCAAGTACTCAAATGAAGTTTCAAGTACTTCTCATAGTAATGATGTGATTTTTGATGGTTCTGATGATTGTGATTTTTTTTGATGGTTAGAGGCATATATACATGATGGTAGGGCAGCATAAATATTTTGCAGTTTTAAAATACAACTCTAAACTGATTCTTATGCAAGATAAACAATTATTTCTTGTAAAATGTCACAAGTTAAGGAGTAGTTTCGGAAACCTAGAACTACTATGTATAGTTTATGTATGGATAGTAGTCACTTCACCACTGATAAGGCATTGTAAAAACATTTTATTTCATAATGCTGCTTTTTTTTTATTTATTTAGCAAGAATGAAGAAACAGGACTTAAGTTACTGTGCACTTTATGCAAGATAACATGCAATTTTGGAACTGGAATATAGCCCTTCATCTTCCCATTTTACTGACTCCCTCTATCAACACTGCAGTTACACAGTAGCAGGGTGCTGTAAATTAAGACCACAGCACCACAAAGCTTAGTGTCTGGTATGCAGACGAAATAACTAGTAGCACATAACTGAACATCTCTCCCCTCAAGTTTCAGACTGCAGTAGAGCAGTTTACCTGACTTCTGTAATGTTAATCAGCACTTACTGTATGCCCCCAAAAATACCCTCAAAGCACTCATTTTATTCAAGCTAAAACTTTTTACAGAAAGAGTATTCTTTCACATAGTATTTTCAGACTGTGAAGGTTTAGTATTTATATAGCCTCTATAGGTTTGTTAATTTCAATTTGTTAATATATTAGGAGAGCATTAAATGTTCATTAGGAGACTTTTTTCCTTTGGACTTATCTCGCTTGAAATAAATGCCTGAATAAAGACAACTTAAATTTAATTGTCCCCATAACCTCATAAAAGTCCTCTCCCATACTGCCCGTAAGATGCAGATGACAGTACGCTGTAACTTGAAAACCACAAAAATATGAAAAATTTGGTATTTGCTCTTTCTATTCCAGTACTACTTGCAGCTAAATCAGATTTTGCTTGTGTGAGTGAAAGCAGCACAACAGCTCTAATAGAGGCTCGACGTTGTTTGTGTATTGGTGGCCCCTGCTCCCACCTTAATCAGAAAAACTCAGCAATGAGGTACTGCAGTAGTTGGCAAATTCCACAGTGACACATAAAGATTATAGCAGCAACTTGTGTAAGAACAGTAAACTATATTTGACTGGTATTCTCCAACTCAAAAAATCCAGTCATACATTGTAACTCACAATTTAAATACCGAATGGAATCATTAAACGGCATATCGGGGATGCAGTCCCACTGTTTACGAATCAATACATTTACACCAGGATCTCTTGCTCAGGACCGAGCTGCCTCTGCAGTCAGTCCCAGCAGCTGATTCTTTCCTGCTCAGGGATGAGGCTCCAGTTGGGTGAGGGCTTGTCAGTCGCCAGCCAGTCAAAGTCATCCACCAGGTTCCAGTTGTTCCTGTTTCTGTCCAGCCCAGAAGACTCGAAATCCCTCTCGATACCAGGGTAGCTCCAGGAATAAGGGGCGAAGGAGACCATAGTGCAGTCCTCGATTACGGCTCGGCTGGTCACCTGCACGTAGAACCGGCTGTCGCGGGTGCGATGGGTGCGGAGCTGCTGGCAGGCCAGCACCAGGAGGCAATCGCTGCAGCCATCCACCAGCACGGAGGTGGAAACGGGCCCGCAGAGCACGGTGCAGCCCCGGCAGTCCCGCACCCGCAGCGTGTTGGCACGTGTTGGCGTTGCCGCGGAGCCGCACCCGGCAGCCCCGCAGCTCGGAGAGCACCACGTCGCGCTGCAGCAGCTCCGCGGGGCCGAGCTCCAGCTCCTCGTCCTCGGCGCCGCAGAACCCGCACAGCGGCGGCCCGCCCGGCTCCCCTTCGGCGGGGCCG